TTACAGAAACAGATGAAAATATATGGCATGAAATGAGGAGGGGAAGGAATGAACCCATTAAGGAAAATAAAGTACAACCAAATATTCGAAATAAAATAATAGAATTGAAGCTAATGACCGTTGCATAATACGAGATGTTGATTGTAACACTTGACGAGACGTTAGTCTGATATCACAGTACGAGTAAGACGAATAAAAAAGTAGGTACTGAAAATGATGAATAGTTTTTATTACAAAAATAATAAAAAAAAAATGTGGAAGATGTGATGATTCTAAACGAAAAGTTTTTTTTTTATTTTTGACTTGTATTCAACCACGGAGATTATTAAGAAACTTTTGTTTAACCATATAATTATATTTTTAGTTTCTTTTCTTGACTTGTCTCTGAGAATTTCATCATTTTTTGCTTTGTTTTTTGTTAATTTACCCCCAACTTCTCTACCATAGTTTATTTATACTCTCTGCTTTCTTGTTTTATTTTTATTCGTATATATATTTTTATTATTTATTATACTTATTTATTTATTTTTACTTTACTTTCCTGGTTTCTTGGGTCGCGAAATTACCCATGACGTGAGTTACTTATCTTTCAATCAAAGGTTGTTTTACTTACTTAGCTGAAATGGCGAGGTAATTTCCCTTGCTGCAAATTCGCCATAGACAATAATGTGAAACAATGTAAAACACGAAACAAAAAACAAAGAAGGAAAGGAAGTAAAACTTCGAAAGCTTCAATGGTGGAGGCAGAAGTCGCTACAAAAAATATTTATTCCGCTTAGGTAATTGTTTAGGAAAGACGATTGTTGCGTTAATTTTCCATGTAAAGAAACACTGACAGCTTGCCTAGAAAATCAGCATTCAATAATATCGCTGCTAACACCGACCAATGAAGCTAGTGGAATATGTGCAATTTGTTAATCAAGGCAAGACCCAGTAGTAGTGCCTACTTAGGTCTATCAAAATGTCATAATTATGACGCATCCACTGAGTTTGAACTCGCAACTCATGGTTAAAAACTAAATTGTGAGTCATTACTACCACGAGATATCCTTATCGGTAGATGATATTTCTTTTGGCTCCTCTGTTAGTTATCATGTGGGTTACACCCTACAATTACCTTGGATAAATAAAGGACTATTTAGTTTTGATTGCAAAGAAAGACGGAAGGAAAAAGCTATACCAGAGATTCTGTTTGGAAAGAAAGAAAGAAAGAAAGAAAGAAAGAAAGAAAGAAAGAAACAAACAAACAAACAAACAAACCACGTAATAAATACATACAGGTCATGTGTTTCACGCTTGTTTCAGTAAAATGAAAAACCTTGTTAGGTTTGAATCTTTTCATTCAATTACACTTACATATATTTTCAGTATTTTACAAATATCTAAAAACATACAAAACCTAGAGAAATTAACACATGAACTGAAGAATGGGTTATAAGCTTTCTTGAACGAGACAGAAAACGAACATGTTAGTGAGAACAATCTTCATTAATAATTAAAAAGGGATTTAAAACTATAATCCTGAATTTAAAAAAAAAACAAATTTTTGGCACAGTCCAGCAAATATTTCAATATCTCATCGTAAACGTCATCTTCTTGAAAACGCAATTGATGCGATGCAAAAAGCGACTTGACAGAAAGAAATGTCTTAAGAAATCCCTGATGATCTAGTGACAGTTACGCGAAGCGATTTGGCACATTCGATGGATGGCAGAAAACAAAAAGTTTTCGAAACAGCAGACTAACACGTAGCCCCATGTTTGTACTGTGTCCATGTCGTGTACCTTAAGCGTAACAACTTTCCGTTCTTCTCCTTCGACATCCAGCTTGGTATTTTTTTTTTTTTTTTTTTTTTTGGATATGTGCTTGAAATTCTCTGAGTGGGACAACTTGCCAGTAATACTTTAATTTTGTCACATTCTCACTGTTGTAAATATAACTCATAGCAGGAGTTGAATAGTGTCTGAGCTATAGATTGATTTGATCATTGTCTACAGCATCTTCAGTAATTGATTGTATATATGAGTTCCACTTGAGGTCTAGAGTGAACTTGAAGCCTAGTTCAAAGTATGACGAGATAGTGAGTGATCCTGGACCTTTTTCTATTGTATGTCACATTTAACAGTTTCAAAGTTAGTCAGGCATCCTTCAGAATTGTCCATTCATGATCCTGGACCTTTGTTTTTTCTCTATTGCCTGATGCAGTGAATTCACGAGTTTCAGAAGCTTTATACCCTTTCATCTAACAAAAAACTGTTGTGGAGTAAATGTGACGTTCCCAGTAGCACAAATGGATAAAGAGACTACTCTGTCCGAAACTCGCGGGGGATAGTTAAATTTTGACGAGTGGCTCGAGTGGTAGTGTTCTTGTTCGCCACAGAAAACTTGACCGTACGTCGCATCTAGTCCACAGTGGGGCGACTTGTAAATACAAGTCCGTCGCAGTCTATCCCAGGCTCGCGACAAGATATCTGTCTTCGCAGAGAGATTGACAAGACTATCTTCAGGCGGAGGATGACTCAGTCGGGGTTATTTCTTCGGCTAAGAAAAACAGACAAGCTGGAGTCAGGCAGTTCGCTGTCTGGATTGCTACTGACAAGACCTTTGTTTTTGAGCAGAGGGTGACTCATTCGGTGCTTTTTTGGCTGAGAAAACAGACAAGCTGGAATCAGTAGTTCGCTGTATTACCCAAGACCCAGAGGGTGACTTTTGCGGGATAGCTCGGCTAAAAAAATACAAGCTGGAAAGTTTTCTGGACCAGTTTTGAGCAGGGGTGACCAGGGTGGAAACGCTCGGTTTCCCGACAATAAACTTGACCTTGTGTCGCATCTAGTCCACAGTGGGGTTACCGGTAAATGCCAGTTCATTGGTGTCAATCGATGAGAATTTCTAGTGACGTCACGGCAAATAGCCTAAGCCAGACATAATATTATAACCGCTAGGAGTGAGTTAAAACAAAGCTCTACCAAATCTGGCGCATCAGATGCGAACAGAAATCGTTTAAAAATAATCGCATGTGAGACGAGCTTGCTTACCACGGCTCCTCGACGAGTAGACTATAGCTCAATAAATATCTATAAACATAGGTTGATGCACATCTACAGACTTTTTAAATAGCACTTGCCTTACAGCTACGTAGTAATAAATACGCTCTGATTATAGTAGATCTCGTCGATTTTACTGTTCTGGAGAAGAAGAAAAAATAACGCTGATCTACGAGGAGAAACACGACTTTTAAAGGCCTCTCTTGAGCAGGTCGGCTGGGAAACTCATGAGGAAGACCTCGGGCTACAGGATCTCTTATCAAGAGAGAAAGCACATATGTTTCGTATTTTTCACTTATATATTTTCGACCTCGCTCCTCTCAAGAGTCAAGAGAAAGATCAAATGACCCACTGAAGGAAATGGACACATGAGGGAAAAAGAGGACGAAGATCTGTGGTGGGGAGAGTGTCATAGACGGGCTGGAAGGGAGAGTTGTGATGGTAGTTGGGTGAGAAGCGTGCCGATCGATGCAAAAAGATTTCATTCAATCGAAAAAAATATGGCGGCAATCATGGCGGTAAAATTTTCTCATGAGTAAACTCAACGGGATAAATTATAAATATTGGACAGTGATCAGACAGCAAGTCAATCGAACCGCAGAAACATATATCCTCTTATTTGAATACATTATTATTATTAGTAGTAGTAGTAGTTGTTGTTGTAGTAGTTGTAGTAGTATTAGAGTCAAATATATCAAGGAAAATATTTTAGTGGCAGATGTGTTACTGGTCGTACTTAATCTTCCTACAAGACAAAATCTGGCAAAAGGCCTTTACCTCTAAGATAGAACGCAAGGTACATTTGCATGAGCGAAGTCAAAAGACTGGATATTTGTTACGGTAAGAAAGCGGGATATTTTACAGTACTTTAGCATACGACAACGGAAAAATATGGCTTCCGTCGCTAAGTAATCCAAGTGAATTCTATTAATATAAAATATTAAAACTGATCCAAAAAAGAGAGCTCAATATAATTATTATAGGGCATTGAAATAAATTACATAAAAATGAAACACAATTGTACCTCATTTTTATGGCCATTTCGATCCTCGTGATAAATTCCCTAGAGCTTGTCGATACTAAAAAGTTTGTTAGAAAAATGAATCGTATCGTTATTTTTTTTTTTCAAAAAATTTAAAATTCAAAAAGGATAGAAAAAAAAAGAAAAACAGAGGAAAACAGAGGAACAAAAATATATAAGGGGAAAGGCTTTTAAGAGGGAGATAGAAAAAAAGAAAAAGAAACACCAAAGTACGGGATGATAGAAAATATAAAAATCAAGACAGAGTTTAAAAAAGGTTGAAGATTAACAATGACATATTTAAAATGTTAACTCCTGTTCAAATAGGAAAAAAAATAAAGGAATAATAATACAATCATTAAATTTAAGAAAAGGAAGAGTTTTAACGATCATATATATATATATATATATATATATATATATATATATATATATATATGTTGTATTTATGCGTAAAAGTTATCAGTATCAGAGATAGAGCTTATGCAAATGTAAAATTGGCCACTGTCGTTAACACCAAGGGGTGACTGTTTATTTTATCCTTGAACGCAATCTTCAGGCGATGTGTTTTAACTCGATTATTTTTATATACTGGTCAGTGATGCATTATGGGTAATAAGGTCTATTTCTTGGATGTGTTCGGAAAGAAAAGAAAAACAAACAAAAAGAGGAACTTTGGATCATTTAACCAAAATTTAGATCCGGATGTGCTGCTGTTTATTCAAGATGTAGACAAATAGAATTTTAAAAAATTATTCACACAGACTGTTTCGACTAAATGTAATAAAATTGGTTTAAATGAAATCTTACTGCCTAAAAAGACATTACAAAAAGAATTTGTCAATATTAAATGCAAAGAGTAGAAATAGTAAGGGCAAAGAGAAATAAAATACGGGAAGAAAGTGAAAAAGAAACAATGAAAGCAACAAAAACATTCAGGGTGGAAAATGAAGAAAAAACTCATTAGAAAGAAAGAAAGAAAGAAAGAAAGAAAGAAAGAAAGAAAGAAAGAAAGAAAGAAAGAAAATCGTATTTGTAAAAATTGTATTAGAAAGAAAGCAAACAACCTTTACAGAATGAAATAAATAAAGAATCAACAGAATAAAAATTGAAATTGTAGAATAAAATAAGGCAAAATCATATTAGTAATAATTGTAGAAGAAAAAAGAAAGAAAGAATCAAGGAAAAATAAAGGAAGGAAAGAGGAAAATAGAAAATGCGAATCGTAGAATGAAAGAAGATAGAAAGAATTTTTAGCTGTAGAAAATGTAGAAGAAAGAAAATGAAAGTGATCGTAGATTAAAAGAAAGTAGAAAAAATCCTAGTAGTATAAAATGTAGCAAGAAGAAAGGAAACAATATTGAAGTAAATAAATATCGAAAGAGAGAAAGCGGGAAAAAACAAAAGAGCAGAATAAAAGAAGGAAATCGTCAAATTAAAGAAGAAAAGGAAATATACCCAGAGTAAACAATATAAGAGTAAGAAAGAAAGAAAGAAAGAAAGAAAGAAAGAAAGAAAGAAAGAAAGAAGTATATAATCGAAAATGAATGCTTAATAACATTTAAAACGAAAGACAAAATTACAAAGCCTGGACAAAAAAATAAACGGAAAACAACCCGAAAAGATTAAAAAAAATTGAAACTGTAACAGTTTTTCTTTCCTTATTTTTTTTTATTGTATTTCTGCATCTTCACAACTGTTCAATCATTTCGAGTCTGCCCATATCTAATCTACACTGAAACTGGCTTTACATTCGGCTTCTGTAAATTTCACTTAAGCCTTTTTCCCCTCTGACTCACTCACATGATATAACGTTCAGCCAAAATGTTATAAAACCAGCCTATAATAGAAATCGATTTCTCGTGTCTCACTCCTTGTTCAACAAATTTCTTATTTGGCTTCTATTCTGAATGTTCAAATTTAAAGGATTTTCTATACACTGTTCGGTGACTGAAATCACTTGCCTAGGAGATGAGATCTACCAATAGAAAGTCGTTAATCATTTTCTAAAGACACAGCTTCTATTACGTCACGCCACAAGTACTATTAACCTATTAGATTCGTTGGGACCTACATGTTTTAATACAATGTTCCCGAGGCCCACAAGATAGAGGGTTATTAAAAGTTTTGATTGAGTGGTTCGCTTTATACGACTTATCAACCCTTTGAAGGCTATTTAAAGCCAGAAAATATATTAGGACAGTAAGAAAATTTTGAGGTGGGTGGGGAGATAATAATAGTTCAGTGATACACGTCTGACTATTTAACCCATGCAGGGGGATTCTTAACATTCCAAAAGATATTTGTGCGTAAAAGAATATAAAGGGTATCGGAATTCGTCTCTCCGATTAACAATACTAAGCCATTATCCATTACACCACCCGCACATCCAAGTTTACAGCACTTGGTATTCCCAAGCGGTCACCCATCGAGGTAATGACGAGGCTCAATATTGCTTAACTAAGATGATCGTACGAGAACAAGTGTTTCAATGTAATGTAGCCGTATACCTGGTTACTGAACTTAGTTGTTACAAGTGCGTAAATGGACCAGGAAGATCTGCATATTGTAAGAATATGTAGGATATATAAAAATTGACCCTAGACTTCATGAAGTTAAAATTAATAATTGTCAGAGAAGCATCCTATCGGTATTCATACGAAGTGACTGTTGTGGAGAAGGAGCTATCTGAGCGAAACTTCCTCCTTTACTAAGAATACGAAGGGAAGCAAGATGATTCCACGCCATGGTGGGCCAAAGCTGTGAGAGTCTGAACTGGTGGGGGTTAAGGAATGTACGTTGTCTGAACAGTTGCCATAGAAATAGCGATAGATTAGCGAGAGGCTAGCAAAGTTTCATCTGTGGAAAAAGAGTTGAATGGTTGAAAAATTATTTATGACCACATAATTACTTTTGAAATCTTTCAAGGCTGAACAATGGGGACTTGAAATTAATACTCCATTTTTGGTCTGATCTGAATCATTTAATGATAGAGCATCGCAGTAGGAGCAAGGTACTCACTTGAAGTGTTACGAAAAACCGCCCATTCTTCCAGCATCTATAACGAATTGTAAGAATAAACGAGTTCCAATGGAGGTTAATAGTGACCTTGAGTCTCCCAGCCAAGACAAGGAGGCTCATTCAGAGTACAACCACTCATCAGGATTAGAGTAGATTTAGGATCTGCTCAGTGGTGATGAAACTAATACAGATTAAAAAAAGTCACAAGTAAAAAAGTCACAGGAAAAAGTCACAAGAAAAAAGAAACAAGATAAGTTAGCATTGTTAAAACCTCTTTCTTTAACAGACTTCTTTTTAACCGTAATCCTACCCTAGCCCTAATATCCCTACCCTAACCCTAAAGACAGCGTGAGTAGTGGAAATCTCGCATAATAGTGTTGCTGTGGATTAATGATACTCGGATTTAATGAAATATCCTTTTGACGCCTCCTGCCATGGAAATTATTAACAGTAATAAACATGGTTCAAAAGTCTGATACAATGGGTTCATTTATACCAAATATGCCCCACACAAAACTAAGTTGTGACTTTTTTCTGTGCCTTTAATTCCTCGCCAAAAATAGGGGGTTTTCTGTGCCTTTTTTTCTTGTGAATTTACTACCGGCCACGGATGAAACGTTACTAGATTTGTTGTGGAAGTATTGAATAATACAAACCAGTCTTTCCCCTACAGAGCTGTGAAAACTAGATCAGTGGAGAAATCAGCTGCTTAATATATAAACAGTAAACAAAAAGAAATCCATACATAAATTTGACATTTTTAATCAGTCAAACAATTACATTTTACCCATTTATATATTTTATACTTTAGATCATATTCGGGCTTCAAAGAGTCGATTTATACACGAGTTTTATAATGTTATCATGATTGAATCCGAACACTATCCATCTTGGAATCATCGCCAAAGAGTTAACAAAGAACACAGACCGAACGCCATTAATGATACCAGATTAGACATTCTAGCTTCATTATCCTCAAACACAATGCAGTAATGCCTTTCTTATTGTAGATGTGGTCACGGTTTATATAGCTGTATACTAAAAGATTCTCAACGGTGGAACTTTAGACAAAGAACGAAAAAGAAAGAAATAGAAAAATGAAGGAAACAAAGTGTAGAGAAAAGAAAGAAAGAAAGTGGAGAATGAAGAAAGTAAAATCAAGAACAAGGGTAAAAGCACAAATGAATTTATAAAAAGGAATAGAAAAATGAAACAAAGAAATAAACTGTAGAAGAAAAGAAAGAAAGAAAGAAAGAAAGAAAGAAAGAACAAAGTGGAGAATGAAAAAAGATAAATCGAGGACAAGGGAAGAAAGCCCACATGAATTTTAAATAAAGTAATAGAACAATGAAAGAAGGAAACAGACTGTAGAAGAAAGAAAGAAAGAAAGAAAGAAAGAAAGAAAGAAATAGGGTAATGAAAATATGAAAGAAAGAAAAAAGAAAGAAAGAAAGTAAAAAAGAAAGAAAGAAAGAAATAGGATAATGAAAATATGAAAGAAAGCAAAAAGAAAGAAAGAAAGAAAGAAAGTAAAAAGAAAGAAAGAAATAGGATAATGAAAATATGAAAGAAAGAAAAAAGAAAGAAGAGATGGAGAACGAAAAAATTGAGAATGTATGAAAGAATCTTTAGAAGACGGAATAAAAGACTAAAAGAAAACAAACAAGGAAGAAATCACAAAGAAAGTAAAAGAATCGTTTATGGGTTCACCCGCTCCCCACTCCAACTCTATATATCCAGAGATTGGCAGCTGTTCTCTCCTCTGACCTATCTCTAACATCTCAATGGGAAATAAAATGGCTCGTTACATTCAACGCCTCGAAAACGAAACTAGTTACATACCATCATCGCCAATCGGACACTGAACTAACACCAGTTACGATGAATTGGTATTCTTTTGGGGTGGTCTCTTGCCTTGAGCAACTACTGTACCTCAAGCTCAACCTAGATCTCAAATGGAACACGTACATAAGATCCATCTCTAAAGATACAGGAAAAATGGTTTGTTCCTTGTACATCTCTAGTAAGTACCTGACTCTTCGTACTATATTCTACGTTTACAAGAGTCCGGTCATGCCTAAAATGGAGTACTGCCGTCGTATTTGGATAGGAGCTGTTCAGACCTCACTTTCCAGCCTAGATAGTCCGAAAGCATCTCCACGTTCTTGTAGGTGACAAATTATTTCTGCCCCGCAAATCCTCTCTTACAGACGGGATGTAGCAAGCCCCTCACTGTTCTAACATTATTTCCATGGAAAGTGGTCAGACGAACTACATTCCTTTCCACCAGTTCTAAGCTACACGGCTAGAACCCAACATGCTACGCTCATTGTAGCGAAATACTTCCGTATTCCATTGTTTAGAATTAATTTCCGCTCTATCAGCTTCCCGTGAACCAGTACTCTGTGGAACCAACTCCCAAGAGGATTTTTTTCCGATCGCTACTATCCTAACTTGTTAAAGTCTAGGATTAAGCGTTATCCTCCAACCCAATATATCAGTATAAACAGCGCCTCCTACTCTGCAACAGTTTACTTCGAGTGGCTTCTGGGCCTTGTACAGGGTGAGACTCGCCATAAAAAAGAATTATGAAGGACAACTATTTTCTTCTTTGCTTGTCATCGGCTATTTTTCAGGATTACATAAACTCTGGTTAACGCTGCCTGGAGGAATCGTTGATATCAAGAATTATCTACAGAGTAAGTGATGTGACCAAATAAATAGTTAAGAAATAACAAGTGTTACAGATATATCATATATTAAACAGTAAGTACAACAGAAGAGTATTACACGACTAGTGAGCGTGTGTCGGTTGAGCAGTGTTCAATCTATTCGACTGTTATATTTACCAGCCTCCCCACGAGATAGGATGTGGCACAAGGCCGAGTTTAATGTGGAGCAATACGAGCCTGTATGCTCTGCCAAAACTTCCCCATAGACCCGGTATAAAACAGGGTTGGGTAGCTGTTTCCTGAGACGAAACTCTGCCCTTTGACATTGCCTCGTCTGGGGATCCTCTCTGCCCGGAGGCAGAGAGTTCGAGAGATGAACAATCTAGGCGACTGTTAATATTTAACAGCCCCACCCTACGAGGGATGTATGTGGCACAAGGCCGAGTTTAGCGTGGGTTTTCCAAGCCTGTAGGCTCGGTCAAAATTATTCCCTTAGAACCCGCATAAACGTATTCAGGGTCTGTCTACCTCCCCGAACGAAACTTTGCCATTCGGCAAAGCCTCGTCCGGGTTTCTCTCTGCCGAGGCAGAGAGATCAACAGATGAACAATCTAGGTGACTGTTCCCCCAAGGCCTTCTCTCCTACTAATCTTATAGTAGGTGGAAGATTCCAACATAGACTCTTTAGAAGGAGGACACCACAACAGTAAGAAAATTCAGAAAGCCAAAACTTCAAAAAGAAAATCATCTCGGTTATAATATATTTAGAAAAAGAGCGAGAATAAGGACACTCGTCCGCATAGTTCCTGAAATAATTAGATTAGATTTTTTGAGAATGTTCGACTGTATCTGTTCAGTGAAGATGCTAATCTGATCTTACCAGAGCGTCTACTGGAGAGCAAAGGCCTGCCATCACGTCTTCCAAATCATTCTCTCTTGTAAATAGTTTAGTCCTCCCCACGTGCCCAACATTTTTACCTAGTAGGATAATCTTTGCAGATGTATGCGGATATATATATATATATATATATATATATAGATAGAGAGAGAGAGAGAGAGAGAGAGAGAGAGAGAAAATTTACTCTAGACGACGCGTTTAGTCCGTCGATGGAGTCTACCAAGGCAAACATAACATGCATTCACATACAAAAGCAAAAAATTTCGTTAGTTTTTTCAAATCCCATAAACAAAATAACATTCATAAATATACATAAATAAATATATATATATATATATATATATATATATATATATATATATATATATATATATAGAGAGAGAGAGAGAGAGAGAGAGAGATGTGACAGGATGTGGCAAGCCTCTCGCTGCTCTATTGCTACTTCCACAGAATGTGCTCGGACGAAATACATTTACTGGTCCTGCCAAATCAAACGTTCACGGCAAGAACATGGCATGCCATGCTTACATGGTAGCAACTACTCCCATTCCCTACGTAAGCCATCGGTTAAAAAGTCCCATCGAGCAGCTTCTTCCAGCAAACTACTGCCCAAACCGACTCCCCAACAGGATGTTTCCTGATTGATACAATGTAAATTTTTCGGGATCTATCCCCATTCCTATGCCCATAAATGATCTCCTAACGTAACCCTCTACCTCGTGTGCCCCCACCCCTGAGCCTTGTAAAGGTGAACCTACTGTATATATATATATATATATATATATATATATATATATATATATATATATAAAAGGAAGAGCTTATAGTAGTTCCAACGAGAGAAAAGTGTGTATATTAAAAAGTAGAGGGAAGCCGCAAACGGTTTTGGTTGTAATGGGAATTTTAAAAAAAATATTATGCTTTATTTTCCATAATTTTGCTACATCTGTTTCCGGTATCGCGACCTTCATTAGGCAAAGCGTGGAGATTTCCACATGTTATTAAAAATAATTAATTTCTTTTATGTTTTTCGATGTTAAATATTCTCGATATGAAACATTCACTTTTTTGTGTGTTAGTAACCCAAATGTCTTCAAGGAATTGGCAGTAGGCTGCCTACTTTCATTCAAGCATGTTTGGTTAAATAATTTAGACGTATTATGTCTATTTATTTTCATTTTAATCCTTTCGAGTTCAAGGATTAATTTCGTGGTAGCTGTAGTAATTAATCAATAAAAATTCCTAAATTTTCTTTCAGAATCTAAAGGCAACAGAAATTTGGTTCTACGGAAGTATACTTCGGATGCCATGGACCGATTATTCGAGCAGTGACGAAATTTTAGAGAAAATGGAAACAAAATAAGTAACTCATACTTAACATCAGGGAGTGACAGTTAAGGTTTCTGGGAAAAAGGGCTTGTAAATTCTGATAGGCCAGGGTCAGATAGAGGGCAAGAGAGACAGGCGAAAACAACGCATAACATACTTAGAGAGCTTGAGTAAATGATTGGCGGAACAAGGTTTAGAAGTTTTTAAGAGCTACAAATGACAGGAAGTTGTAGAGAGCCATGATCGCCCAGTTTCTGAGGCAACACGGCACATAAAGATAAAAGCTACTTCACTACTATCGTTTCATTGAACTAGCATGTTTAACAAATTTAAACACTAAAACTTTAAAATTGAGTACAATTCCACTAAACGGAACAGCCAAGATATTCGGTACTGAACGGGTTCGAGGAAGAAAAGCCTGCTGTGGCAAGCTTAAAATTCTTACCAAGTTTTACAGTTTAGGATAAAATAGTGTTACCATTGAAGTAATCGACAAATAATAATAATAATAATGAAATTAACTCATTACTGCTTAAAGTTTACTTAAAATTGTAGCGCTTTTTACCTAATCTAAGTTGCTAGCTGATGGTAATATTAGTGCTGGCCTATTTAAAAGATAATGAGATAAAGTGGAAAACGCGATACACGACGATTTTAACCAAGGGCGTCTGTTGTATCTGGTTTCTCCAAGTTAGAATTAAAGAAATACTAAACTGTAGATAAGGAAAGCAGCGTTGAGATCTCTGAGGATAATTGGTGACCATAAATCAATCGTTTAGTTTTTAATTCATTCGAACCTGAAGAAGCCAATTCCCGACGAATCACGACGTTTATTTTTTCGTTTTTTTTTTCCAGATTGTCTCATTATCTTCACTTTTGTTTCGAATATTATTATACATCCTACAAACACGCACAGACACACAAACACACATAAACATATACCATCTAAACCAATTGAAAAAAAATTATATAGGTCATGACATTTCGTTTTCTTCATAGAATCCTAGTCAATTTCGTTGCGACTGATAAAATGATTTCTCTATTTCGTAAAATATAGAGAAGTATATAAAAAAAATTCAGTCGGTTTAGATTTTAGCGAAGGTCTCATATTTGATTGGTTAATCACGGTAAACCCCCACAAGCCTCATTTTGATTGTATTTTTTTCGTATTCTCTTTCCTTTTCAAAAAAGAGGAAGTATTCTGCTTTTGAAATTAATCGGTCACTGACCAGTAATTTGCCATCAGCCGAGGAGACTATTGTGTAGCGATTTCTGACATGTTTTTGTTTTAATCTCCAGTAATAAATAATATTTAGCTCTCTTCTGTATTGAACACTTTTTTTTTAAACTGAATGTTACGTATAGAGGAATTATGTGCCATTTGTCCTTATCTAATTGGATATCAGTTATGCGTTATGCGTGATACTCGCTTAGGAGATCATGAATCTTTCGATACATGACTGACGAGGCAGATTTTTTCCCACAGTAGGTTGTCATTTCTTTCTGCGGTAGGCCAGTTGCCATCCAAGACTACAGGACTTTGTCTGTCTTGGGGTGGGGGAGAAGAGAATTCATACCTTTCCCAAGGGTATTAGCACGTAAGTGAATGTAATGATTCGACTCGAATTCGAACTCGGCTCTCTGATTCCTCAATCCGAGCAATCCATTGGTCCACCATGTGTGTGTGTGTGTGTGTGTATATATATATATATATATATATATATATA